GTGGTGGGTGTGGCAGTGACCCCGCCCAGGTGTGGTGGGCGTGGTGGGCGTTGCACTGACCCCGCCCAGGTGTGGAGGGTGTGGTGGGTGTGGTGGGCGTGGCACAGACCCTGCCCAGGTGAGGTGGGCGTGGCACTCAGACCCCTCCCCAGGTGCCTCCAGGCCGTGCAGCTGGACCGCCACATTCGCCTCCTGGACTGTCCGGGGGTGGTGCTGGATTTGGGGGACCCCCCGGCCGCCGCGCCCCTGCGGGGGGCTCTGGCCCCCCAAAACCTGCGGGACCCCCTGAGCCCCGCCTGCGCCGTCCTGCGCCGCTGCCCCGCCCAGCAGGTGAGTGGGACCCCCTGGGGGGCTCAGGGGGTGTGGGGAGGGGGACCCCACCCCAATTCCCGATTTGGGGGGTCCCCGTTTTCCCAGCTCAGCTCTTCGGGGGGGTCCAGTCACCCCAAAATTTGGGTTAAGGGGTCACTCAGCACTGGGGGAGGGGCGGTTCCCCCTGGGGGGCTCAGGGGGCATGGGGAGGGGACCCCACCCCAATTCCCGATTTGGGGTGACCCCCTTTTCCCAGCTCAGCCCTTTGGGGGGCTCCAGTCACCCCAAAATTTGGATTTAGGGGGCACTCGGCACTGGGGGAGGGGAGGTTCCCCCTGGGGGGCTCAGGGGGCGTGGGGGGGGGGACCCCACCCCAATTCCCAATTTGGGGGTCCCCGTTTTTCCAGCTCAGCCCTTTGGGGGGTTCAGTCACCCCAAAATTTGGATTAAGGGGTCACTCGGCACTGGGGGAGGGGAGGTTCCCCCTGGGGGGCTCAGGGGGCGTGGGTGGGGGTCCCACCCCAATTCCCGATTTGGGGGTCCCCGTTTTCCCAGCTCAGCCCTTCGGGGGGATTCAGTGACCCCCAAAATTTGGATTTAGGGTCACTCGGCACTGGGGGAAGGGAGGTTCCCCCTGGGGGGCTCAGGGGGTGTGGGGGGGGACCCCACCCCAATTCCCGATTTGGGGGTCCCCGTTTTCCCAGCTCAGCCCTTTGGGGGGGATTCAGTGACCCCCAAAATTTGGATTTAGGGTCACTCAGCACTGGGGGAGGGGAGGTTCCCCCTGGGGGGCTCAGGGGGTGTGGGGGGACCCCACCCCAATTCCCGATTTGGGGGGACCCCGTTTTCCCAGCTCAGCCCTTTGGGGGGGATTCAGTGACCCCCAAAATTTGGATTTAGGGGCACCTGGGGGAGGGGAGGTTCCCCCTGGGGGGCTCAGGGGGCGTGGGGGGGACCCCACCCCAATTCCCGATTTGGGGGTACCCCGTTTTCCCAGCTCAGCCCTTCGGGGGGGTTCAGTGACCCCCAAAATTTGGATTTGGGGGTCACTCAGCACTGGGGGAGGGGAGGTTCCCCCCTGGGGGGCTCAGGGGGCGTGGGGAGGGGGACCCCACCCCAATTCCCGATTTGGGGGTCCCCGTTTTCCCAGCTCAGCCCTTTGGGGGGGGCCAGTCACCCCAAAATTTGGCTTAAGGGGTCACTCATCACTGGGGGAGGGGAGGTTCCCCCTGGGGGGCTCAGGGGGCGTGGGTGGGGGGCTCACCCCAATTCCCGATTTGGGGGGACCCCGTTTTCCCAGCTCAGCCCTTCGGGGGGATTCAGTGACCCCCAAAATTTGGATTTAGGGGCACCTGGGGGAGGGGAGGTCCCCCTGGGGGGCTCAGGGGGCGTGGGGGGGGACCCCACCCCAATTCCCGATTTTGGGGGTCCCCGTTTTCCCAGCTCAGCCCTTCGGGGGGGTCCAGTCACCCCAAAATTTGGATTAAGGGGCACCTGGGGGAGGGGAGGTTCCCCCTGGGGGCATTTTCAGCCCGTTTTGACCCCCAAAAGGGGGGCAGGGTGACACCCCCCGGCGTGCCCGTGCCCCCCAAACCGCTCTGTGTCCCCCCACAGCTGAGCCAGGTCTATGGGGTGCCCCCCTGCACTGACCCCCTGCAGTTCCTGGCCCACCTGGCCCGGAGGTGGGGCCGGCTCAGGCCCGGGGGGCTGCCGGACCCCCACGCCGCTGCCGTGGGGCTGCTGCGGGACTGGAGCAGGTACCCCCACTCTGACCCCATTTCTGGGGGGCTGGGAGGGGTTTATTCACCCTGATCCCCTTTTTTGGGGGGGTGCAGGGGGTCTTCCCACACCCTGACCCCATTTTGGGGGGCTGGGGAGGGTCCCCATACACCCTCACCCCATTTTGGGGGGCTGGGGAGGGTCCCCATACACCCTGACCCCATTTTGGGGGGCTGGGGAGGGTCCCTGTACACCCTGACCCCATTTTGGGGGGCTGGGGAGGGTCTTCCCACACCCTGACCCCATTTTGGGGGGCTGGGGAGGGTCCCCGTACACCCTGACCCCATTTTGGGGGGCTGGGGAGGGTCTTCCCACACCCTGACCCCATTTTGGGGGGCTGGGGAGGGTCCCTGTACACCCTGACCCCATTTTGGGGGGCTGGGGAGGGTCCCTGTACACCCTGACCCCATTTTGGGGGGCTGGGGAGGGTCTTCCCACACCCTGACCCCATTTTGGGGGGCTGTGGGGTCTCCCACCCACCTCAACTCCCTTTTTTCAGCCTTTTGAGCTGTTTTTTTTGGAGCAATTCCCTTTTTGGCATCTTTCAACCCCATTACCCCATTTGGGAGGGGCTGGGGGGTCCCCCCACAACCTGAACCCCATTTTTGGGGTCTCCCCACACCCTGACCCACACACCCACCCCCTTTTTTTTTGTTTTTTCCACAGTGGGAAGATCTCGTACTACACCCACCCCCCCAAATCTCGGGGGGTGCAGCTCCAAGCCCAAATCCTGCCGGCGCTGGGGCCGGAGCTGGACCTGGCGGCTCTGGAACGGGGGGACGCCGAGGTCCTGGCAGGTGAGGAGCACCTGAACCCCCTCCTGGAATTCCCAAAATGTTGTTGTCCCAAAATTTGCTGTTGGTGGTCCCGTTCTTGGCTCACACCGACCTCAAAATGTTGAGGGGGTCAAAAATTCTCCATTTTTACTCTCCCTGAATTCACCCTTGCCAAAGATTTAAGGAGCCCAAAAATCCCCCAAATTTTCCCTTCCCAAAGCTTTGGGGTTCCCACAAATTCCCCTTTTCCAAAGCCTTGGGGTTCCCCCAAATTCATCCTCTCAAAGCCCTGGGGTTCACCCAAACCACTTCCCTGTGTCCCCAAACTCCCTCCCCACACTCCCAATCCCCTTCCCCACACCCAAAGCTCCCCTAAACCCCCTAAAAACACCCTCCAAGCTGCCACCACCACCCCCAAAACCCTTCCTAACCCCTTCCCCACTTTCCCAATCCCCAAACCCCCTCTGGTGCCCCCCTAAAGCCCCCAAACACCCTCCAAGCTGCCTTCAGCCCCCCAAAACCGCCTCCACAACATCCCAATCCCATTCCCCACATCCTGAGCTCCCCCAAAGCTCCCCCAAAGCCCCTAAACACCCTCCAAGCTGCCTTCAGCCCCCCAAAACTGCCTCCCCAATACCCCAATCCCATTCCCCACATCCTAAATTCCCCCAAAGCCCCTAAACACCCTCCAAGCTGCCTTCAGCCCCCCCAAAACCCTTCTCCAAACTTCCCAACTCCCTAAATTCCCCCAAAGCTCCTAAACCCCCTCCAAGCTGCCTTCAGCCCCCCCAAAACCCTTCTCCAAACTTCCCAACCCCCTCAGCTCCCACAAAACACCCTCCAAGCTGCCTTCAGCCCCCCAAAACCCTTCCAAAACACTTCCCAACCCCCTCAGCTCCCACAAAACACCCTCCAAACTGCCTTCAGCCCCCCCAAAACCCTTCCCAACCCCCTCAGCTCCCACAAAACACCCTCCAAGCTGCCTTCAGCACCCCCAAAACCCTTCTCCAAACTTCCCAACCCCCTCAGCCCCCCCAAAACCCTTCTCCAAACTTCCCAACCCCCTCAGCTCCCCCAAAACACCCTCCAAGCTGCCTTCAGACCCCCAAAACACTTCCCAACCCCCTCAGCTCCCCCAAAGCCCCTAAACACCCTCCAAGCTGCCTTCAGCCCCCCCAAAAACCCTTCCCAACCCTTCCCAACCCCCTCAGCTCCCTTCCCCCCTCGAGGACCCCCCAAAAACTCCCCCGACCCCCCCCCAGCGGTGCCGGTGACGGTGTCGGGCTTGGGGCTGTCCCCGGAGGAGGAGGAGGAGGAGGAGGAGGAAGGAGAAGCCATGGAGGACGACAGCGCTGACCAGGAGGTGGGAAGGGATTTTGGGTTTTTTTGGGGGGTTTTTGGGGGGGTTTTTGGGGGGCACTGGGTTATTTTTTGGCCCCCCCAGCTCGGCAGGATGACGGTGGAGGTGAAACCCCCCCGGGTGAAGTCGGGGGGCGTTGGGGGGGAGTCGCTGCCCCGACCCCCCGGCCTGGAGGATGTGGCTGCGCTCCCCCCCCTGCTCCAGGGCCAGGGGCTGCGGGCAGCCGCGAAAAGGAGGAAAAAACTGCAAAAAAGAGCAGGTGAGTGAGGACACCCCCTTTTTCTGACCCCCCCAAATCTCCCTGAGCCCCCTAACTCCAAATTCTGATCGCCCCCCACCCCGCAGGGAAGATCGGCACGAAGCTGTCGCAGGCGCTGGAGGCGGCCATGCAGTTCTGAGGCAAAATAAATCAAATTAAATCAATTTTAAAAAATGCTGTGGGCAATGGGGCCCATCAGAAATGGGCAGGGCGCTTAAAGGGGCAAAAACCAAAAAAAAATCCCACACCCTGTCCCCCCCAGAACCTCCAAACCACCCCCGAGACCCCTCCCCAAACCCTTCTGGGACTCCTCACAGCCTCTGAGACCCTTCCCCAAAATCTCCCCAGCCCCCCCCCCCAAAATCCTGATCCCCAGGGTGACCCCACCCCTTTATTTTGGGGGTCCCCCTTTCTTAGGATCAGCCCTGAGGCCCCACTGGGGATCCCAACCCCCATTTTGGGCTGGATTTCCTCATTTTGGGGGTCTTGGTTACCCCTTTAACAGCCCCAGGACCCTCCTTGAGGCCCCCAAATCCAACCCCCCTCATTTTGGGACCCCTCATTGGGCTCTCCTGCCCCCCAATATTCCCCTGGGAGCTCAAATCCTTCCCCATTCCCCCCTCCCCCTATTTTGGGGTGCTCCCAGGGCTTTGTGATCCCCCCAAATCCTGGGGGGGAACCCTCAGACCCCCCCAAAAAAAGAGACAAAAACAAGGACACAAATGCAATTGATTTATTCAATATTTGGTGAGGGGACCCCAGAAAACAAAAGCTTCAAAATGGAATCAGGAACAGAAGAAAAACCCCCCAAAAAAAGGATTTTGAGGTGAGGGGAGCAGGATAAGAACCCAAAAAATGAGTGAAGGGAGTTGAGTGTGGGACCCCACCCGGAACGAGGGGGTGGGGAGGGGGTCGGTGCAGGTTTGGGGTGCTGGGGGGGGTCAATGCAGATTTGGGGTGCCAGGGGGGGGTCACTGGGGGCTGTAGGGGAAGCCCAGCAGGATCCCCTGGTAGGGTCCCACCTTGAGCTCCTCCAGCCTCAGCTGCTGCTCCCCGGGCTCCTTCGGGCCGGTGCTGTATCGCACGGTGGCCGAGGTGGGCAGGGGGGGTTCCTGGGGGTCTCCAGGCTCCTTTTTCACCGAGAAGGGTTTGAGGGGGGCTCCGTGGGGGTTGAGCACCAGCAGGAACCGCTCGCTCTGGTCCCAACGCCGCAGCACGGCCATGGCTGAACCGGCGGCCACGGCCCACGCCTCCCCCAGCAGCAGCGAGCGCTCGTGGGCCCGCAGCGAGGCCAGGGCCGCGCACAGCTCCAGCTCGGGGGGCTGCAAGGCAGGAGGAGGGGGCTGGGGTCACTGGGGGGGCTGGGAGACCCCCAAGTGCAGCCCCAGCCCCGGGAATGGTGCGCTGGCCCTTTAAGGAGGCAGGTGGCGTTGCCGTTTTAAGGCGGCGTTGCCCTTTTAAATGCCAGCTTGTGGGGCCCACCGTAAAGCTCCGCCCATTATGGGCGTGGCTACTAAACCACGCCCCCTCATTAAACATTAAAGCCCCGCCCACCACCCTGTCAATCACCGCTCAAGCCCCGCCCACCACCCTGTCAATCACCGCCCCAAGCCCCGCCCACCTCGGAGCCGTTTCCCGCCGGTTTCGGGGCCTCGATGGATTCCCACGGCATCGGCGGCAACTGGGGCAAAAAACGGGGAAATTGGGGTAAAAACGGTGAAATTGGGGTAAAATTAGTGAAATTGGGGTAAAAAACAGTGAAATTGGGGTAAAATAGGTGAAATTGCAGTAAAAAAATGGTGAAATTGGAGTAAAAAATACTAAACTGCATCAAAACCCAGCGAAATTTGGGTCAGGGGGTCACCCCAACCCACCCCTGCAAACCCCAAATCCCTCCCCAAAACCCCCCCGAGTACCCAGAGCACCCCAAATCCCACCTGCAGCCCCCCAAAAACCCCACAAACCCTCCCTGAACCCCCCCTGGGTACCTGCTGGTTTTTGGGGGGCCGCGGCAGCCCCAGCTCGTCGCCGTAGCTCAGCACGGGGGTCCCGGGGAGCCCCCAGAGCAGCAGCAGCTGCTGCAGCCGCAGGTTGGGGCTCACCCACGTCTCCCAGGGGGACCCCACCTGTGGGACAGGCACCCGTCACCCCAAAATCTGCGGGGGGACCCCAAAAATGGGAGTGGGCAGCAGGAGCGGGAGGGCGGCGTTGGGGGTGGGGAATTTGGGGGGTGCCAGGAATGTTTTGGGGGTCCTGAGGGACGTGGGGGCAGTTGAGGGTCTCAGAGTTTCAGGATTGGGGTCTCAGGGAGGTTTGGGGGTGCAGGAGGATCCTGCAGGGGGAATTTGGGGGTTCCAGGGGTGCAGGACTGGGGGGGGATTTGGGGCTCCTGAAGGGATTTTGGGGGTCCTGGGGAGGTTTTGGGGCCCCTGAAGGGATTTGGGGGGTTCGAGGGAAGTTTTGGGGTCCCATTTGGGAATTCCAGGGGAAGACGGTTGTTTGTGGCTCCTGAAGGGATTTTGGGGGTCCTGGGGAGGTTTTGAAGCTCCTGGAGGGATTTGGGGGGACCTGGTGAGGTTTTGGGGCTCCTTAAGTGATTTTTGGGAGTCCTGGGGAGGTTCTGGGGTCCCATTTGAGAGTCTCACAGAATGGAGAAATTTTGGGGGGTTGTGGGGAAGTTTTGGGGTCCCATTTGGGAATTCCAGGGGAAGAGGGTTGTTTGAGGCTCCTGAAGGGATTTTGGGGGACCTGGGGAGGTTTTGGGGCCCCTTAAGTGATTTTTGAGGGTTGTGGGGAGGTTTTGGGGTCCAATTTGAGAGTCTCACAGAATTGAGAGGTTTTGGGGGGTCCCAGAGAGGTTTTGGGGCTCCTGAAGTGATTTTTGGGAGTTGTGGGGAGGTTTTGGGGTCCCATTTGGGAATCCAGAGGGGGAGGATGGGATCTGGAACTCCTGAAAGGATTTGAGGGTTCCCGGTGAGGTTCTGGGGCTCCTGGGGAGGTTTTGGGGCTCCTGAAGGGATCTGGGGGTGCCAGGGAGGTTTTGGGGCTCCTGAAGGGATTTGGGGGGACCTGGGGAGGTTCTGGGGCTCCTGAAGGGATTTTGGGGGTCCTGGGGAGGTTCTGGGGCTCCTGAAGGGATCTGGGGGTCCTGGGGAGGTTTTGGGGCTCCTGAAAGGATTTTTGGGGGTTGTGGGGAGGTTTTGGGGCTCCTGAAGGGATTTTTGGGGGTGCTGGGGAGGTTTTGGGGCTCCTGAAGGGATTTTGGGGGTCCTGGGGAGGTTTTGGGGCTCCTGAAGGGATTTTGGGGGTGCCAGGGAGGTTTTGGGGCTCCTGAAGGGATTTTTGGGGGTGCCGGGGAGGTTTTGGGGCTCCTGAAGGGATTTTTGGGGGTTGTGGGGAGGTTTTGGGGCTCCTGAAGGGATTTTTGGGGGTTGTGGGGAGGTTTTGGGGCTCCTGAAGGGATTTTTGGGGGTCCCGGTGAGGTTTTGGGGCTCCTGAAGGGATTTTTGGGGGTCCCGGTGAGGTTCTGGGGCTCCTGAAGGCATTTTGGGGGTCCTGGGGAGGTTTTGGGGCTCCTGAAGGGATCTGGGGGTGCCGGGGAGGTTTTGGGGGGCAGCACTCACGCTCCAGCCCAGCCCCACGGAGGAGTTGGAGCTGAGGAAGTTGAGGAGGTTCCTCAGGGCTCCCTCGGGTGCTTCGGCGTCGCCCTTGGGCTCCAGGGGCTGCAGGAAGGGGCCCAGCAGCAGCTGCGGCCCCCCCGGTGCCCTCCAGGGGTCCTGCAGCCGTGTGCCCCCCACCAGCACCCTAAAAACAGACAGCAGCACCCCAAAAATGGGGGGAAAAGTCAGGGGAGAGCCCCGAAAATCAGGGGGAAAAGTCAGGGGAGAAGCGTGAAAATGAGGAGCAAAAGATCAGAGGAGCTGCCAAAAAATGAGGAGGAAACAGTCAGGTGAGTACCCCAAAAATCAGGGGGGGGGAAAGTCAGAGGAGCACCCCAAAAATGAGGAGGAAACAGTCAGGTGAGTACCCCAAAAATCAGGGGGGGAAAGTCGGAGGAGCACCCCAAAAAATGAGGAGGAAACAGTCAGGTGAGTACCCCAAAAATCAGGGGGAAAAAGTCGGAGGAGCACCCCAAAAATGAGGAGGAAACAGTCAGGTGAGTACCCCAAAAATTAGGGAGGGAAAGTCAGAAGAGCACCCCAAAAATGAGGAGGAAACAGTCAGGTGAGTACCCCAAAAATCAGGGTGGGGAAAGTCGGAGGAGCACCCCAAAAAATGAGGAGGAAACAGGTGAGTACCCCAAAAATCAGGGTGGGGAAAGTCGGAGGAGCACCCCAAAAAATGAGGAGGAAACAGTCAGGTGAGTACCCCAAAAATCGGGGGGGGAAGTCAGAGGAGCACCCCAAAAATGAGGAGGAAACAGGTGAGTACCCCAAAAATCAGGGGGGGAAAGTCGGAGGAGCACCCCAAAAAATGAGGAGGAAACAGTCAGGTGAGTACCCCAAAAATCAGGGGGGGAAAGTCAGAGGAGCACCCCAAAAATGAGGAGGAAACAGGTGAGTACCCCAAAAATCAGGGGGGGGAAAGTCGGAGGAGCACCCCAAAAAATGAGGAGGAAAAAGTCAGGTGAGTACCCCAAAAATCAGGGGGGGAAAGTCGGAGGAGCACCCCAAAAATGAGGAGGAAACAGTCGGGTAAGTACCCCAAAAATCAGGGGGGGAAAGTCGGAGGAGCACCCCAAAAAATGAGGAGGAAACAGTCAGGTGAGTACCCCAAAAATCAGGGGGGAAAGTTGGAGGAGCACCCCAAAAAATGAGGAGGCAACAGGTGAGTACCCCAAAAATCAGGGGGGGAAAGTCAGAGGAGCACCCCAAAAAATGAGGAGGAAACAGGTGAGTACCCCAAAAATCAGGGGGGGAAAGTCGGAGGAGCACCCCAAAAATGAGGAGGAAACAGTCAGGTGAGTACCCCAAAAATCAGGGGGGGAAAGTCGGAGGAGCACCCCAAAAACGAGGAGGAAACAGTCGGGTGAGTACCCCAAAAATCAGGGGGGGAAAGTCGGAGGAGCACCCCAAAAATGAGGAGGAAAAAGTCAGGTGAGTACCCCAAAAATCAGGGGGGGAAAGTTGGAGGAGTACCCCAAAAATCAGGGGGGGAAAGTTGGAGGAGTACCCCAAAAAATAAGGAAACAGTCAGGTGAGTACCCCAAAAATCAGGGGGGGAAAGTCGGAGGAGCACCCCAAAAAAATGAGGAGGAAACAGTCGGGGGGGAAAGTTGGAGGAGCACCCCAAAAAATGAGGAGGAAACAGGTGAGTACCCCAAAAATCAGGGGGGGGAAAGTCAGAGGAGCACCCCAAAAAATGAGGAGGAAACAGGTGAGTACCCCAAAAATCGGGGAGGGAAAGTCAGGGGAGCACCCCAAAAAATGAGGAGGAAACAGGTGAGTACCCCAAAAATCAGGGGGGAAAGTCAGAGGAGCACCCCAAAAATGAGGAGGAAACAGTCAGGTGAGTACCCCAAAAATCAGGGGGGGAAAGTCGGAGGAGCACCCCAAAAAATGAGGAGGAAACAGGTGAGTACCCCAAAAATCAGGGGGGAAAAGTCAGAGGAGCACCCCAAAAATGAGGAGGAAACAGTCAGGTGAGTACCCCAAAAATCAGGGGGGGAAAAGTCGGAGGAGCACCCCAAAAATGAGGAGGAAACAGGTGAGTACCCCAAAAATCAGGGGGGGAAAGTCAGAGGAGCACCCCAAAAATGAGGAGGAAACAGTCAGGTGAGTACCCCAAAAATCAGGGGGGGAAAGTCAGAGGAGCACCCCAAAAAATGAGGAGGAAACAGCCAGGTGAGTACCCCAAAAATCAGGGGGGGAAAGTCAGAGGAGCACCCCAAAAAATGAGGAGGAAACAGGTGAGTACCCCAAAAATCAGGGGGGGAAAGTCGGAGGAGCACCCCAAAAAATGAGGAAACAGTCAGGTGAGTACCCAAAAAATGAGGAGGAAACAGGTGAGTACCCCAAAAATCAGGGGGGAAAGTCAGGGGAGCACCCCAAAAATGAGGAGGAAACAGGTGAGTACCCCAAAAATCAGGGGGGGAAAGTCAGAGGAGCACCCCAAAAAATGAGGAAACAGTCAGGTGAGTACCCCAAAAATCAGGGGGGAAAGTCAGAGGAGCACCCCAAAAAATGAGGAGGAAACAGTCAGGTGAGTACCCCAAAAATCAGGGGGGGAAAGTCAGAGGAGCACCCCAAAAAATGAGGAGGAAACAGGTGAGTACCCCAAAAATCAGGGGGGGAAAGTCGGAGGAGCACCCCAAAAAATGAGGAGGAAACAGGTGAGTACCCCAAAAATCAGGGGGGGAAAGTCAGAGGAGCACCCCAAAAAATGAGGAGGAAACAGTCAGGTGAGCACCCCAAAAATGAGGAGGAAACGGGTGAGCACCCCAAAAATCAGGGGGGGAAAGTCAGAGGAGCACCCCAAAAAATGAGGAGGAAAAAGTCAGGTGAGTACCCCAAAAATCAGGGGGGGAAAGTCAGGAGCGCCCCAAAAAATGAGGAGGAAACAGTCAGGTAAGTACCCCAAAAATCAGGGGGGGGAAAGTCGGAGGAGCACCCCAAAAATGAGGAGGAAACAGTCAGGTGAGTACCCCAAAAATCAGGGGGGAAAAGTCAGAGGAGCACCCCAAAAATGAGGAGGAAACAGGTGAGTACCCCAAAAATCAGGGGGGGAAAGTCGGAGGAGCACCCCAAAAAATGAGGAGGAAACAGGTGAGTACCCCAAAAATCAGAGGGGGAAAGTCAGAGGAGCACCCCAAAAATGAGGAGGAAACAGGTGAGTACCCCAAAAATCAGGGGGGGAAAAGTCAGAGGAGCACCCCAAAAATGAGGAGGAAACAGGTGAGTACCCCAAAAATGAGGAGGAAACAGTCAGGTGAGTACCCCAAAAATCAGGGGGGGAAAGTCGGAGGAGCACCCCAAAAAATGAGGAAACAGTCAGATGAGTACCCCAAAAATCAGGGGGGGAAAGTCGGAGGAGCACCCCAAAAAATAAGGAGGAAACAGTCAGGTGAGTACCCCAAAAATCAGGGGGGGAAAGTCAGAGGAGCACCCCAAAAATGAGGAGGAAACAGTCAGGTGAGTACCCCAAAAATCAGGGGGGGAAAGTCAGAGGAGCACCCCAAAAATGAGGAGGAAACAGGTGAGTACCCCAAAAATCAGGGGGGGAAAGTCAGAAGAGCACCCCAAAAATGAGGAGGAAACAGGTGAGTACCCCAAAAATCAGGGGGGAAAAGTCAGAGGAGCACCCCAAAAATGAGGAGGAAATAGGTGAGTACCCCAAAAATCAGGGGGGGAAAAGTCAGAGGAGCACCCCAAAAATGAGGAGGAAACAGTCAGGTGAGTACCCCAAAAATCAGGGGGGGAAAGTCAGAGGAGCACCCCAAAAATGAGGAGGAAACAGGTGAGTACCCCAAAAATCAGGGGGGGAAAGTCAGAGGAGCACCCCAAAAAATGAGGAGGAAACAGTCAGGTGAGTACCCCAAAAATCAGGGGGGGAAAGTCGGAGGAGCACCCCAAAAAATGAGGAAGAAACAGGTGAGTACCCCAAAAATCAGGGGGGGAAAGTCAGAGGAGCACCCCAAAAAATGAGGAGGAAACAGTCAGGTGAGTACCCCAAAAATTGGGGGGTGAAAGTCGGAGGAGCACCCCAAAAATGAGAGGGAAAGGTGAAGGGAGCACCTCAAAAATAAAAAAATCAAGGGAACAACCAAATAACGAGGAAGGACAGGGAAGCACCCCAAAAATAGGGGCAAAAAGTCAGAAAAGCACCCTAAAAATGGGGGGTAGAAAGTCAGAAAAGCACCCTAAAAATGGGGGGCAAAAAGTCAGAAAAGCACCCTAAAAATGGGGGGCAAAAAGTCAGAAAAGCACCCTAAAAATGGGGGGCAAAAATTCAGAAAATGGGGGGCAAAAATTCAGAAAAGCACCCTAAAAATGGGGGGCAAAAAGCCAGAAAAGCACCCCAAAAATGGGGGGCAAAAAGTCAGAAAAGCACCCTAAAAATGGGGGCAAAAAGTCAGAAAAGCACCCTAAAAATGGGGGGCAAAAAGTCAGAAAAGCACCCTAAAAATGGGGGGGAAAAAGTCAGAAAAGCACCCTAAAAATGGGGGGCAAAAAGTCATAAAATGGGGGGCAAAAAGTCAGAAAAGCACCCCAAAAATGGGGGTGGAAGGTCAGGGGAACACTCCCAGCACCCCAAAATAGAGGAAAGAAATTCATGAGGCAAAAAATGAGAGGAGGAAGAGATTTGGGGGAGTCAGTGAGTTTGGGGGTGACACAGGGACATTTTTGGGGGGTCAGTGAGTTTGGGGGGACATTGGGGTGACACAGGGACATTTTTGGGGGGTCAGTGAGTTTGGGGGGACATTGGGGTGACACAGGGACATTTTTGGGGTGTCAGTGAGTTTGGGGGTGACACAGAGGACACATTTGGGGTGTCAGTGAGTTTGGGGGGACATTGGGGTGACACAGGGACATTTTTGGGGGTGTCAGTGAGTTTGGGGGGACATTGGGGTGACACAGGGACATTTTTGGGGGTGTCAGTGAGTTTGGGGGGACATTGGGGTGACACAGGGACATTTTTGGGGTGTCAGTGAGTTTGGGGTGACATTGGGGTGACACAGGGACATTTTGGGGGGTGTCAGTGAGTTTGGGGGGACATTGGGGTGACACAGGGACATTTTGGGGGTCACACCTGTCCACACCGCTGGGGCTCGGCTGCTGCTCCGTCAGGTTCCTCCACTGGGCCACCACCAAGTCCTGGGTGAGGGGACACAGGGGGGTCACCCAGAGCCCCTAAAGACCCCCCAATTCTGCCCCAAACCCCCAAAATTCCACCCCAAACCCCCAATCCTGCCCCAAAACCCCCAAAATTCCACCCCAAACCCCCAATCCTGCCCCAAACCCCCAAAATTCCACCCCAAACCCCCAATCCTGCCCCAAACCCCCAAAATTCCACCCCAAACCCCCAATCCTGCCCCAAAACCCCCAAAATTCCACCCCAAACCCTCAATCCTGCCCCAAAACCCCCAAAATTCCACCCCAAACCCTCAATCCTGCCCCAAAACCCCCAAAATTCCACCCCAAACCCCCAATCCTGCCCCAAACCCCCAAAATTCCACCCCAAACCCCCAATCCTGCCCCAAACCCCCAAAATTCCACCCCAAACCCCCAATCCTGCCCCAAACCCCCAATCCTGCCCCAAAACCCCCAAAATTCCACCCCAAAGCCCCAATCCTGCCCCAAACCCCCAAAATTCCACCCCAAACCCCCAAAATTCCACCCCAAACCCCCAATTCTGCCCCAAACCCCCAAAATTCCACCCCAAACCCCCAAAATTCCACCCCAAAGCCCCAATCCTGCCCCAAACCCCCAAAATTCCACCCAAAACCCCAAAATTCCACCCCAAACCCCCAATCCTGCCCCAAACCCCCAAAATTCCACCCCAAAGCCCCAATCCTGCCCCAAAACCCCCAAAATTCCACCCCAAACCCCCAATCCTGCCCCAAAACCCCCAAAATTCTACCCCAAACCCCCAATCCTCCCCAAAACCCCCAAAATTCCACCCCAAACCCCCAATCCTGCCCCAAAACCCCCAAAATTCCACCCCAAACCCCCAATCCTGCCCCAAACCCCCAAAATTCCCCCCCAAACCCCCAATCCTGCCCCAAAACCCCAAAATTCCACCCCAAACCCCCAATCCTGCCCCCAAACCCCCAAAATTCCACCCCAAACCCCCATCCTGCCCCAAAGCCCCAAAATTCCACCCCAAACCCCCAATCCTGCCCCAAAACCCCCAAAATTCCACCCCAAACCCCCAAAATTCCACCCCAAACCCCCAATCCTGCCCCAAACCCCCAAAATTCCACCCCAAACCCCCAATCCTGCCCCAAAACCCCAAAATTCCACCCCAAACCCCCAATCCTGCCCCCAAACCCCCAAAATTCTACCCCAAACCCTCAATCCTGCCCCAAAACCCCCAAAATTCCACCCCAAACCCCCAATCCTGCCCCAAAACCCCCAAAATTCCACCCCAAACCCCCAATCCTGCCCCAAAACCCCCAAAATTCCACCCCAAACCCCCAATCCTGCCCCAAAACCCCCAAAATTCCACCCCAAACCCCCAATCCTGCCCCAAACCCCCAAAATTCCACCCCAAAGCCCCAATCCTGCCCCAAAACCCCCAAAATTCCACCCCAAACCCCCAATCCTGCCCCAAAACCCCCAAAATTCCACCCCAAACCCCCAATCCTGCCCCAAAACCCCCAAAATTCCCCCCCCAACCCCCCATCCTGCCCCAAAACCCCCAAAATTCCACCCCAAACCCCCAATCCTGCCCCAAAACCCCAAAATTCCACCCCAAAGCCCCAATCCTGCCCCAAACCCCCAAAATTCCACCCCAAACCCCCAATCCTGCCCCAAAACCCCCAAAATTCCCCCCCAAACCCCCAATTCTGCCCCAAACCCCCAAAATTCCACCCCAAACCCCCAATCCTGCCCCAAAACCCCAAAATTCCCCCCCAAACCCCCAATCCTGCCCCAAAACCCCAAAATTCCACCCCAAACCCCCAATCCTGCCCCAAAACCCCCAAAATTCCACCCCAAACCCCCAAAATTCCACCCCAAACCCCCAATCCTGCCCCAAAACCCCCAAAATTCCACCCCAAACCCCCAAACTTCCACCCCAAACCCCCGAACTTCCACCCCAAACCCCCAAAATTCCACCCCAAACCCCCAATCCTGCCCCAAAACCCCCAAAATTCCACCCCAAACCCCCAAAATTCCACCCCAAACCCCCAATCCTGCCCCAAAACCCCCAAAATTCCACCCCAAACCCCCAAAATTCCACCCCAAACCCCCAATCCTGCCCCAAAACCCCCAAAATTCCACCCCAAACCCCCAATCCTGCCCCCAAAACCCCCAAAATTCCACCCCAAACCCCCAATCCTGCCCCAAACCCCCAAAATTCCACCCCAAACCCCCAATCCTGCCCCAAAAACCCCAAAATTCCACCCCAAAGCCCCAATCCTGCCCCAAACCCCCAAAATTCCACCCCAAAGCCCCAATCCTGCCCCAAAACCCCCAAAATTCCACCCCAAAGCCCCAATCCTGCCCCAAAACCCCCAAAATTCCACCCCAAACCCCAAATCCTGCCCCAAAACCCCCAAAATTCCACCCCAAACCCCCAATCCTGCCCCAAAACCCCCAAAATTCCACCCCAACCCCCCAATCCTGCCCCAAAACCCCCAAAATTCCACCCCAAACCCCCAATCCTGCCCCAAACCCCCAAAATTCCACCCCAAACCCCCAATCCTGCCCCAAAAACCCCAAAATTCCACCCCAAACCCCCAATCCTGCCCCAAAACCCCCAAAATTCCACCCCAAAGCCCCAATCCTGCCCCAAACCCCCAAAATTCCACCCCAAACCCCCAATCCTGCCCCAAAACCCCCAAAATTCCACCCCAAACCCCCAATTCTGCCCCAAACCCACGAAATTCCACCCCAAACCCCCAATCCTGCCCCAAAACCCCCAAAATTCCACCCCAAACCCCCAATCCTGCCCCAAACCCCCAAAATTCCACCCCAAACCCCCAATCCTGCCCCAAAACCCCCAAAATTCCACCCCAAACCCCCAATCCTGCCCCAAAACCCCCAAAATTCCACCCCAAACCCCCAATTCTGCCCCAAACCCCCAAAATTCCACCCCAAAGCCCCAATCCTGCCCCAAACCCCCAAAATTCCACCCCAAAGCCCCAATCCTGCCCCAAACCCCCAAAATTCCACCCCAAACCCCCAATCCTGCCCCAAAACCCCCAAAATTCCACCCCAAACCCCCAATCCTGCCCCAAACCCCCAAAATTCCACCCCAAACCCCAATCCTGCCCCAAAATCCCCAAAATTCCACCCCAAACCCCCAATCCTGCCCCAAACCCCCAAAATTCCACCCCAAACCCCCAATCTTGCCCCAAAACCCCCAAAATTCCACCCCAAACCCCCAATCCTGCCCCAAAACCCCCAAATTCCACCCCAAACCCCCAATCCTGCCCCAAAACCCCCAAAATTCCACCCCAAACCCCCAATCCTGCCCCAAAACCCCAAAATTCCACCCCAAACCCCCAATCCTGCCCCAAACCCCCCAAAATTCCACCCCAAACCCCCAATCCTGCCCCAAAACCCCCAAAATTCCACCCCAAACCCCCAATCCTGCCCCAAAACCCCCAAAATTCCACCCCAAACCCCCAATCCTGCCCCAAACCCCCAAAATTCCACCCCAAACCCCCAATCCTGCCCCAAAACCCCCAAAATTCCACCCCAAACCCCCAATCCTGCCCCAAAAACCCCCAAAATTCCACCCCAAACCCCCAATCCTGCCCCAAAACCCCCAAAATTCCACCCCAAACCCCCAATCCTGCCCCAAAACCCCAAAATTCCACCCCAAACCCCCAATCCTGCCCCCAAAACCCCCAAAATTCCCCCCCAAACCCCCAATCCTGCCCCAAACCCCCAAAATTCCACCCCAAATCCCCCATCCTGCCCCAAAACCCCCAAAATTCCACCCCAAACCCCCAATCCTGCCCCAAAACCCCCAAACTCCACCCCAACCCCCCAATCCCGCCCCAAAACCCCCAAAATTCCACCCCAAACCCCCAATCCTGCCCCAAACCCCCAAAATTCCACCCCAAACCCCCAATCCTGCCCCAAAACCCCCAAAATTCCACCCCAAACCCCCAATCCTGCCCCAAAACCCCCAAAATTCCACCCCAAACCCCCAATCCTGCCCCAAAACCCCCAAAATTCCACCCCAAACCCCCAATCCTGCCCCAAAACCCCCAAAATTCCACCCCAAACCCCCAATCCTGCCCCAAAACCCCAAAATTCCACCCCAAAGCCCCAATCCTGCCCCAAAACCCCCAAAATTCCACCCCAAACCCCCAATCCTGCCCCAAAACCCCCAAAATTCCACCCCAAACCCCCAATCCTGCCCCAAAACCCCCAAAATTCCACCCCAAACCCCCAATCCTGCCCCAAAACCCCCAAAATTCCACCCCAAACCCCCAATCCTGCCCCAAAACCCCCAAAATTCCACCCCAAAGCCCCAATCCTGCCCCAAAACCCCCAAAATTCCACCCCAAACCCCCAATCCTGCCCCAAAAACCCCAAAATTCCACCCCAAAGCCCCAATCCTGCCCCAAACCCCCAAAATTCCACCCCAAACCCCCAATTCTGCCCCAAAACCCCCAAAATTCCACCCCAAACCCCCAATCCTGCCCCAAAACCCCCAAAATTCCACCCCAAACCCCCAATCCTGCCCCAAAACCCCCAAAATTCCACCCCAAACCCCCAATCCTGCCCCAAACCCCCAAAATTCCACCCCAAACCCCCAATCCTGCCCCAAACCCCCAAAATTCCACCCCAAACCCCCAATCCTGCCCCAAAACCCCCAAAATTCCACCCCAAACCCCCAATCCTGCCCCAAAACTCCCAAAATTCCACCCCAAACCCCCAATTCTGCCCCAAACCCCCAAAATTCCACCCCAAACCCCCAATCCTGCCCCAAAACCCCCAAAATTCCACCCCAAACCCCCAATCCTGCCCCAAAACCCCCAAAATTCCACCCCAAACCCCCAATCCTGCCCCAAAACCCCCAAAATTCCACCCCAAACCCCCAATCCTGCCCCAAAACCCCAAAATTCCACCCCAAACCCCCAATCCTGCCCCCAAACCCCCAAAATTCCACCCCAAACCCCCAATCCTGCCCCAAAACCCCCAAAATTCCACCCCAAATCCCCCCAAATCCCCCCCAGCCCCCTCACCGGGAGCTCCTCGATGCCATCCAGGAAGATCCCAGCAATGTCCTCCTTCAGCCAATGGCTCATGGCGGCCTGGGGGGGCACAGGGGGGGTTATGGGGGGTCCCCCACTTCCCCAAGCCCCCCACCCCCACCCCACAGCCCCCCCAGACCCACCTGGACCTGCTGGAGCACCTCAGAATCTTTGGCTGCGTCCCCCCAGACCGGATTCCCGGCGGGGTTTGGGGTCAGGTCCAGGATCACCTTCACCCCTGGGAGGGGGAAAATGGGGGGGTCAGGGCACCCCAAAACCCCTCCAGCATCACAAACCCCTCCCCCCACACTATAAACCCCCCACCATTATGGGGGATCCCCCTTTTTGGGGGCTCCTCCTGTCTCTCAAACACCCAACCATGGGAACCCCCCCAAATTGAGCCCCCCCCCCTGCATTTCCCCCCTAATTTTGGGGGTGTCCCCTCACATCAATTTTGTGCCCCTTAAATTTTGGGGTTCTCCCCCCCTGCTTCAATTCTGTGCTGCCCCTGCCCCAAATTTAAGCTCTCAATTTTTCCCCACCCCATATCCAACATTTCCCCCAAAATTCTGGGGTTCCTCCCAGTGCCACCCCCCCAATTTTGGGGTCCCCCCCCCCAGTTTTGGGGTGCCCCCAGCCCACCTTTGTCCTTGGCTGCCTGCACCAGGGCGCTGAAGTCCTGCCTGGTGCCCAGGGTGGGGTCCAGCTCCTTCAGGGGGGGGATTTTGGCCTCGGGGGATTTTTGGGGGTACACGGGGCCCAGCACCAGCCCCCCAACCTGCAGCTTCTCCTTCAGGTACCCCAAACGTTTCTCCACACCTGGAGAGGAGGAAAAAGAGGTGAACCCCAAATCTCACCCTACAACACAACCCCAGAATTCTCCCAGGAGATCCCCAAAATCCCACCCTGAGACCCCAAAACCAGCCCAGGAGTCCCCAAAAGTCCTCCCAGGATCCCAAAATCGCTCCAAAAGTTGGGTGAAACTCCAAAATCCCCCAAATTTTGGGGTCCCCTCAGGTTTTGAACAATTCCCAGAGATCCTGGGACTCCCCTAAAGTGGAGGGACCCCCAAAATTGCTGAGTCACTCCCCCCAGGCTCTTTTATTGGGGGGGTCCTGAAATGGGGGTCCCCAATGTGATCCCGTGGGTTGTTTTTGGGAATTCACCCCGACATATGTCGGGGGGGGCACTGAGATGACTCCCACCCCCAAATTATTCATTAATTCATTTAGGAGTTCATTAATAGCCCCTCACAGGCTCCCAGGAGACCCCAAAACCTTCCTGGGGATGCCCCCAACTTTCTGAACCTCCCTAAAACCAGGTTGGAGACTCCCTAAACTCCCTCAACTCACCTCTAGGGACCCCCTAAACTTCTTAAACCCCCCCAAATTCCTTCTGCCATCCCCTAGAACCCTCCCACCCTGTCACTCCCCAAAAGGACCCTCTAAACCCCCCAGGGGACCCCCCAAATTCCCCTAGCCATCCTCTGGAACCCTCCCACCCCCAGAAGTCTCTCTAAACCCCCCCAAACTCTTCATGGGACCCCCCCAAATTCCCCTAGCCATCCTCTGGAACCCTCCCACCCCCCAAAAGATTCTCTAAACCCCCCCAAACTCTTCATGGGACCCCCCCCAAATTCCCCTAGCTATGTTCTGGGACCCTCCCAGCCCCCAAAAGACACTCTAAACCCCCCCAAACTCTTCATGGGACCCCCCCCAAAATCCCCTAGCCATCCTCTGGGACCCTCCCACCCCCAAAAGACTCTCTAAACCCCCCCAAACTCTTCATGGGACCCCCCCAAATTCCCCTAGCCATCCTCTGGGACCCTCCCACCCCCAAAAGTCTCTCTAAACCCCCCAAACTCTTCATGGGACACCCCCAAATTCCCCTAGCCATCCTCTGGGACCCTCCCACCCCTGGAACCCTCCCACCCCCCAGAAGTCTCTCTAAACCCCCCAAACTCTTCATGGGACCCCCCCAAATTCCCCTAGCTATGCTCTGGGACCCCCCAAATTCCCCTAGCTATGCTCTGGGACCCCCCAAATTCCCCTAGCTATGCTCTGGGACCCTCCCACCCCCAAAAGTCTCTCTAAACCCCCCAAACTCTTCATGGGACCCCCCTAAATTCCCCTAGCTATGCTCTGGAACCCTCCCACCCCCCAGAAGTCTCTCTAAACCCCCCCAAATTCCCCTAGCTATGCTCTGGAACCCTCTCACCCCCCAGAAGTCTCTCTAAACCCCCCCAAACTCTTAATGGGACCCCCCCCAAATTCCCCTACCCATCCTCTGGGACCCTCCCACCCCCCAGAAGTCTCTCTAACCCACCCAAACTCTTCATGGGACCCCCCCCAAATTCCTTCTGCCATCCCCTAGAACCCTTCCACCCTGTCGCTCCCCAAAAGGACCCTCTAAACCCCCCAGGGGACCCCTCAAATTCCCCTAGCCATGCTCTGGGACTCTCCCACCCCCCAGAAGTCTCTCTAAACCCCCCCAAACTCTTCATGGGACCCCCCCCCAAATTCCCCTAGCCATCCTCTGGAACCCTCCCACCCCCCAGAAGTCTCTCTAAACCCCCCCAAACTCTTCATGGGACCCCCCCCAAATTCCCCTAGCCATCCTCTGGGACCCTCCCAGCCTCTGCCACCCCCCAGAAGTCTCTCTAACCCCCCCCAAACTCTTCATGGGACCCCCCCAAATTCCCCTAGCTATGCTCTGGGACCCCCCAAATTCCCCTAGCTATGCTCTGGGACCCCCCCACCCCCCAGAAGTCTCTGTAAACCCCCCCAAACTCTTCATGGGACCCCCCCAAATTCCCCTAGCCATCCCCTGGGACCCTCCCACCCCCAAAAGACACTCTAAACCCCCCCAAACTCTTCATGGGACCCCCCCCAAATTCCCCTAGCCATCCTCTGGGACCCTCCCACCCCCCAGAAGTCTCTCTAAACCCCCCCAAACTCTTCATGGGACCCCCCCCAAATTCCCCTAGCTATGCTCTGGGACCCCCCAAATTCCCCTAGCCATCCTCTGGAAACCTCTCACCCCCCAGAAGTCTCTCTAAACCCCCCCAAACTCTTCATGGGACCCCCCAAATTCCCCTAGCCATCCTCTGGGACCCTCCCAGCCCTGGGACCCTCCCACCCCCCAGAAGTCTCTCTAAACCCCCCCAAACTCTTCATGGGACCCCCCTAAATTCCCCTAGCCATCCTCTGGGACCCTCCCACCCCCCAGAAGTCTCTCTAAACCCCCCCAAATTCCCCTAGCCATCCTCTGGAACCCTCCCACCCCCCAGAAGTCTCTCTAAACCCCCCAAACTCTTCATGGGACCCCCCCCAAATTCCCCTAGCTATGCTCTGGGACCCTCCCACCCCCCAGAAATCTCTCTAAACCCCCCCAAACTCTTCATGGGACCCCCCCAAATTCCCCTAGCCATCCTCTGGGACCCTCCCACCCCCCAAAAGACTCTCTAAACCCCCCCAAACTCTTCATGGGACCCCCCCAAATTCCCCTAGCTATGCTCTGGAACCCTCCCACCCTCTGCCACCCCCCAGAAGTCTCTCTAAACCCCCCCAAACTCTTCATGGGACCCCCCCAAATTCCCCTAGCTATGCTCTGGGACCCCCCAAATTCCCCTAGCTATCCTCTGGGACCCTCCCACCCCCCACAAGTCTCTCGAAACCCCCCCAAACTCTTCATGGGACCCCCCCCCAAATTCCCCTAGCTATGCTCTGGAACCCTCCCACCCTCTGCCACCCCACAAAGGACTCTCTAAACCCCCCCGAAACCCCCCCAAACCCCCACGGGACCCCCCCAAAACTCTCCCTCACCTTTCAGATCCCCTCCAAAAGCCTTGGGGGGAGCCCTGTAGAGCGCCCCGAGCTCCCACCAAGCTTTGGTGGGCAGGGGCTGGCAGCGGGGGGCTTGTGCCACGATGGCAGCAGCAGCCCCCAACATGCCGATCCAGCCCCCCCAGAAAAGCACGAGCAGCACCAGGCGGGCCCGGGCCCAGAGCGGCGTCCCCGCTTCCCTCAGCAGCTCCTCCTTGCCCAGCCCTGTGAATTTGGGGCTCCCCGAGACCCCCGAACCCCCTAAAGGAGCTTCTTCTTCCTCCTCGGGGGGGATTTTCATCTTCAGCCCGTTTTTCTCCACGCCCAGCAGCTGCTCCGGGGGTGGGGAGGGGTCGCGGTGGGGAAGGGTCGCCTGGGGAGGGGTCCCGGGCTCGGCCGCTGCCATCGGCTCCGTCTCAGCCTCCAGCGCTGACAGCTCCAGCTCGCGGTGGGGCGACTCGGGCTCCATCTGGGGAGAAAAAATATAAAAAAATAAAAATAAACCACACCGAAATGTTCAGGGATTCCTGCCCAAAGCGCCCCAAAAGGCGTCGGGCGGGGCTGAACTCTCACCCCCCAAACGGCCTCAAGGGGGATCTTTGAACCCCGACTTTGCCCCCCCCACCCCACCGTGGGGAAAGCGTCTTAAAGAGATCCAAAGGTGCTCCCCGCACCCCAAAACCTCCTCAATATCACCCTAAAATCCTCTTAGTGGGGGTTTCAAGCTCCGCTTGAGCTTCTAACACACCCCCCCCCCCCACCCCGGGGACCCCAAAAGCCTCACAGGGGCCTCAGAACGCCCTAAAATCTTTCCCTCCCTGAACAAGCAAATCCGCCCTTGGAGGGGATCTCGAGCCCTTCCCACACACCCCAAAATTCTCAAAAAGGTGTTTGTGTCCCCCAGAAATGCCCCGCGGTGCCCAAATCCCCTCACGGTGGTCGCACCTTCGCTGAGGGCTCGTGACAGGCCTGAGGGGCGCGACGCAGCCTTTTATACCCCGGGAAGCCACGCCCACTCGCTGCTGACCACGCCCCCAGCCCCGCCCCCTGGCGCCGCCGCGGCGCCCGGACCGGGCGGATCAAAGTGCACGAGGCGCGGGGGGGGCCGGATACGCCCCGGGACGAATGGGGCGGGACAGAGCCCCCGGAGGTCGCGTTTTGGAGTCTCTGATTCGCGCCACCGCTCAGCGGGACGCCACTTATGGGGCTCGTGGCTTTTTCTTCTCCCGGAGGGTTCTTTACACCCCCGTCCTTTTCGGGGTACCCCCATGCGCCGCCATTTTGCCACACCCCAAGCAGCCGCCATTTTGCTGTTGTCAAAGTCTCTATTCAGCTCTGCTGGGCGCCGCCATTTTGTTGTGCCCCGGGGGTGCGCTATTTACGGAACCCCCGTATCGGGCAGCCCGCACGGGGTCTCCTTACTGGAAACCGAGTCGGAGATCCTCGGTGCTTCTTACGGAGATCTCCAGCCCTCTATGGCGGGACAGAACGGCGCCACTACCATCCTGCTCATTCTGTCCACCCCTCCGCGCGCATAATGGTTCATCCCACAGCGCCCTCTCAAATCCCGCCTATACTTCGGCCAATCAGCACCGCGCCCCGCCGGAAGTAGCCAATCACCGGAAACGTCTCCACGGCAACCACCGGAAGTTCCGCTGTCTCCCGGAAGTGGCGGCGCGGCCATGGGCGCCTCAAAGAAGCACCGGGAGCGCGGCGGGGCCGAGGCGGCCGAAGAGGCCCCGGGAGCGGCCGGGACGGGCAGCGGCGGCAGCGCGGGGCGGCCCCGCGAGCACCGCAAGCACCGGCACCGCGGCGGGGAGCGGCGCGGGAAGCGCAGCCGCTCCCGGGGCGAGCGCGGGGGCTCCGGGGGAGGCTCCGGTTCGTCCCGGCGCGGAGGGGCCGAAGAGAGCGGGAGGAGCGGTCATGGCCGCGGCGGCTCCGAGAGCGAACGGAGAGCGAAGAGGGAGAGAAAAGAGGAGCGGGAGGAGCCCGGTGAGGGCGGGAGGAAAGGTTGGGGGGAGTTGGGAAGTTTTGGGGGGAAATTGGGGTTTGGGGAGGGATTTGAGGGGGAATTTGGGGGGATTTTGGGGTGTTGGGAGGGGCTCGGGGGTGCTGGAGGGAAGTTTGGGGGGGGTTTTAGGGGCACAGCAAAGATTTGGGGTGCGGGAGGATTTTGGGGGGATTGGAGGAGGTTTTGGGGTGCAATTAATGGGATTTGGGAGGGGGTTTGTATCAGCTGGGGGTGATTTTGGGGTTTGGGGGGGGGAGATTTGGATGGGGGAGACCCCAGAGGGATTTGGGGGGGTTAAAGGTGAAATTTGGAGGATTAGAGGGAATTTTGAGGTGTTAATGGGGATTTTGGGGGATTAATAGGGATTTTTGTGGGGTTAAAAGGGAATTTGGGGGGATTTAAAAGGATTTTGTGGGGTTGAAAGTGAATTTGGGGGGGTTAGAGGGAATTTTGGGGTGTTAATGGGGATTTTGGGGGATTAATAGGGATTTTTGTGGGGTTAAAAGGGATTTTGGGGGATTGAAGGAGAATTTGGGGTGTTGAAAGGCGATTTTGGGGGATTGAAGGAGAATTTTAGGGTGTTAATGGGGATTTTGGGGGATTAATAGGGATTTTTGTGGGGTTAAAAGGGAATTTGGGGGGATTTAAAAGGATTTTGTGGGGTTGAAAGTGAATTTGGGGGGGTTAGAGGGAATTTTGGGGTGTTAATGGGGATTTTGGGGGACTAATAGGGATTTTTGTGGGGTTAAAAGGGAATTGGGGGGGATTTAAAAGGATTTTGTGGGGTTGAAAGTGAATTTTGGGGTGTTAATTCGGATTTTGGGGTGTTAATTGGAATTTTGGGGTGTTAATGGGGATTTTGGGGTGGATTATGGGGATTTTGGGGGGATTAAAGGTGAATTTTGGGGTGTTCAAAGGGAATTTTGGGGTCCCTGGGGTGACTGGGGTGGGGCAGCACCCCGGGGGGTATCCCAGCAGTTCCCCCCACCCTAATTAATCACTAATAATTCATTAATTACCCCCCCACAGCCCCTCCCAAATCCGCAGCGGGCGAATCCTCCCTGAGCGTGGAAGAAACCAAGTGAGGACCCCACCCCAAATCCCCCCAAATTTGGGGTCCCCCCACCCCAAACCCCCCAAATTTGGGGTCCCCCCACCCCAAACCCCCCAAATTTGGGGTCCCCCCACCCCAAACCCCCCAAAATTGGGGTCCCCCCACCCCAAACCCCCCCAAAATTGGGGTCCCCCCACCCCAAACCCCCCAAATTTGGGGTCCCCCCACCCCAAATCCCCCCAAATTTGGGGTCCCCCCACCCCAAACCCCCCAAAATTGGGGTCCCCCCACCCCAAACCCCCCAAATTTGGGGTCCCCCCCACCCCAAACCCCCCAAATTTGGGGTCCCCCCACCCCAAACCCCCAAAATTGGGGTCCCCCCACCCCAAACCCCCCAAATTTGGGGTCCCCCCTCCCCAAACCCCCCAAATTTGGGGTCCCCCAAACCCCCCCTGAGCCCTTTCCCTGTTCCCAGTAAGCTCCGGGCCAAACTGGGACTGAAACCGCTGGAGACCGGCCCGGCCAAGAAAGGTGAGCGGATTTTGGGGAATTTTGGGGGGTTTTGGGGCAATTTTGGGGGATTTGGGCAATTTTGGGGGGTTTGGGGCTGATTTTGGGGCTGATTTTGGGGCCAATTTCACCGATTTTGGGGTGTATTATGGGGCTGATTTTGGTTCTGATCTTACTGATTTTTGGGCTGATTTTGGGGCTGATTTTACTGATTTTTGGGCTGATTTTGAGGCCAATTTCACTGACTTTGGGGCTGATTTTACTGATTTTTTTCGGCTGATTTGGGGGCTGATTTCACTGACTTTGGGGTTGGTTTTACTGATTTTGGGGTTGATTTTACTGATTTTTGGGCTGATTTCGGGGCTGATTTCACAGATTTTGGGGTTGATCTTACTGATTTTTGGGCTGATTTTGGGGCCAATTTCACCGATTTTGGGGTTGATTTTACTGATTTTTGGGCTGATTTTGAGGCCAATTTCACTGATTTTTGGGCTGATTTTGGTTCTGATCTTACTGATTTTTGGGCTGATTTTGAGGCCAATTTCACCGATTTTGGGTGTGATTTTACTGATTTTTGGGCTGATTTTGGGGTGGAATGTTGGGTGCCTGGGGCTGGTTTTGAGGCCCATTTCACCAATTTTGGGGCTGATTTTACTGATTTTTGGGCTGATTTTGGGGCTGATTTCACCAATTTTGGGGTGTATTATGGGGCTGATTTTGGTTCTGATCTTACTGATTTTTGGGCTGATTTTGAGGCCAATTTCACTGATTTTTGGGCTGATTTTGGGCTGATTTTACTGATTTTTGGGCTGATTTTTGGGGCCGATTGAACTGATTTTGGGGTGTATTATGGGGCTGATTTTGGTTCTGATCTTACTGATTTTTGGGCTGATTTTGGTGCTGATTTCACCGATTTTGGGTGTGATTTTATTGATTTTTGGGCTGATTTTGGGGTGAAATGTAGGGTGCCTGGAGCGGGTTTTGAGGCCAATTTCACCGATTTTGGGGCTGATTTTACTGATGTTTTGGGCTGATTTTGGGGCCAATTTCACCAAATTTGGGGCTGATTTTACTGATTTTGGGCCTGATTTTGGGGCTGGTTTCTCCAATTTTGGGGTGTATTATGGGGCTGATTTTGGTTCTGATCTTACTGATTTTTGGGCTGATTTTGAGGCCAATTTCACCGACTTTGGGGTTGATTTTGGGGCTGATTTTGGGGCTGATTTTGGGGCCGATTTCACCGATTTTGGGGTGTATTGTGGGGTGCCCCAGAACTGGTTTTGAGGTTGATTTTGGGGCTGATTTCACTAATTTTGCAGTGGATTATGGGGCCCATTTTGGGGTGGAATGTGGGGTGCCTGGGGCTGGTTTTGAGGCCAATTTCACCGATTTTGGGTCTGATTTTACTGATTTTTGGGCCGATTTCACCGATTTTGGGGTGTATTATGGGGCTGATTTTGGTTCTGATCTTACTGATTTTGGGCTGATTTTGAGGCCAATTTCACCGACTTTGGGGTTGATTTTACTGATTCTTGGGCTGATTTTGGGGCTGATTTCACCGACTTTGGGGTTGATTTTAGTGATTTTTGGGCCGATTTTGAGGCCAATTTCACAGACTTTGGGGTTGATTTTACTGATATTTGGGCTGATTTTGGGGTGGAATGTTGGGTGCCTGGGGCTGGTTTTGAGGCCAGTTTCACCGATTTTGGGGTTGATTTTAGTGATTTTTGCGCTGATTTTGGGGCTGATTTTGAGGCCAGCTTCACCGATTTTGGGGTTGATTTTACTGATTTTTGGGCTGATTTTGGGGCTGATTTCACCGATTTTGGGGTTGATTTTACTGATTTTTGGGCTGATTTTGGGTCCGATTTCACCGATTTTGGGTCCGATTTCTCCAATTTTGGGGCTGATTTTGGGGCCAATTTCTCCAATTTTGGGGCTGATTTTGGGGCCGATTTTGGGGCTGATTTTGGGGCTGATTTCACCGATTTTGGGGCTGATTTTGGGGTGCTCCCCGGGCAGAGGCGGGCACGAAGGAGGAGCCGGTGGCAGCCGAGCTGATCAATCCCCTGGCGCTGCGGCAGCGCGAGGAGATCCGCGAGAAGCTGGCGGCGGCCAAGGAGAAACGGCTGCTGAACCAGAAACTGGGGTACGGGGGGGTTTGGGGGGAATTTGGGGGGGTTTGGGGAGAAATTGGGGAGGTTTGGGAGGAATTGGGGGGAACTGGGGAGGAATTGGGGAGGTTTGGGAGGAATTTGGGGGTGTTTGGGGAGGATTTGGGGGTGTTTGGGGAGGATTTGGGGGTGTTTGGGGAGGATTTGGGGGTTTTTGGGGGGGCTGAGAGGAATTGGGGGGGTTTGGGAGGAATTTGGGGGGTTTGGGGAGAAATTGGGGGGAACTGGGGAGGAATTGGG